TGTCTGAAGTGTGAGGAAGGAGAATGGGTGCCATACTCAATAGGAAGGTGGTTCTTAACACCCTCGGTCACTGCCAAGTCGATGCGCGCGTCCCGGTTCTCGTCCTTGTAGTGCGCCTCCTGGATGTGGTCTTGAATTCTTTCCCGGCCCTCGTCCTGATCAGGGTTACGAACAACGAACCCGCAATCTTCTTCGTCGCAAACCCAGGTGCCATTGGGCCCCTTGGCATCAGTTGTAGGGAGAATCTCCGCCCGGACAACCACCTTCAACGCGGCGGGAGATTCAGCCGTGTCAACCTCAGACTCATTGTCACTATCACCGGAGCTGCTGGCGGCTTCCATGCTGTTCTCCTCTGAGTCGTAGGTGTGAGATGTCTTTGCCGCTTTGGACCCTCGGGAAACTGTGTCGGGGGTGTCTTCCGTCGAATCGAAGCGTCGTTTACTTCCCTTACTGCCGACCAGACGTAAGGCCGACATCTTGCCTGCGGGACGTCCGGCACGCTTTGGCGGGGGCGTTGCAAATGCCGCTGAGCTACCAGCTCCATTCGTCTCAGGCTTTGTGTTTGTAGTCTTGGCTTTTCGCCGAATGAGGCTGCCTGGGATGTTTTCCACAGTAACGTGCTCAAGCGTGATGCGAGGTCCATGAGCGTTTTCTTGCAGCGTGTCCCAAAACTTGGAATCTCCCCATACGCTTTGGTCCAGACGCTCCACCAATTCCCGGGCGTAATATTTCAGTATCTCTGCTGAACCGAGATAGTGCTTGATGCTGTACTTGTAGTACAACTTCGATGAAACCTTGGGGAAAGAATTCTTGCTGAGGGGTTCCAGCTCTGGACGAAGCTCCTCAAGTCCCTCCAAAATCAAATCGACATTTGAGCGTTCGCTGGCTTCCTGGTTCTGCGAAGGTTCCGAGACAGACATGTTTTGCAGCGCAGCGTCCACATCCATCGGCTCAGGAGGCGGTGAAGACACTGCCGCGATTACCACTGGAGGCGGACTCCGCGATTGTGTCTTCGTCTTGGCTCTCGACCTCGACCTTATACTTCGCCGAGAGCCGGATGCGCCAGAGTTGTGAGCTTCAACGTCATCGTTGTTAAGGCCGGTGTCCTGTGGAGTGTCCCGCTGTCTGCGCTTCGATATAGCCTTCTGCGCAGGGGGTTCGTCTGTTGTGTCCGCTGGAGCGACGATGTCCATCTCTTCTGGAACTTCTTCGATGGTGGGTTGTCCTTGTGGCTTCATCTTCCGAGCCTTCTGCACCTCCAAATGGATGTCCTGTCACCATTAGCTCCGGCTTCGTATGTGTGGCGAAGATTGCTGCTCACGGGGTGGCGTTCAACAAGCCACTTGAAGAATATTGTGGGTTCCCAATCGAACGCTGCGCGGTCTTCATAGAAATGCGAGATTAAGAATGGTGCGTGATTGTCGCAACGCGCCTCAACCTCATCAAGGGTCGCCCCGTCGCCCATAGCCACCGCATACTGGAGCACATTAGCGGGCACAATAGTGCTTCGGTAGGCAATCACTAACCTTTAGAAGCAAGCTTTGTATGGTAAGTGCTTTGGGTGGGGATTTTCTTCCCTTCTTCTTGGACCCTTTCTTGCCCGGCTTGGTTTGGGTTTCGTACTCCTCGACGGCATCCGCATGCTCCTCGATTGCGGTCATAATGGTGTAATAAATGGCGACACCCTCGATCATTCGATCATGTGTTGGCTTGTATTCGGCCGATGGAGGTCTTATCTCAAACCAGCCGGTGCCCCCACCAGCCCACGCACCATATCTGACGGAATTCTCTGAGTCGAAAGCGCCTATAGCGTACCTCCGAATATTCTTGGATTCGATCAGGGCGGTTCTCATGGCTGGATTTTTAGCTAGGCTGAGTTAGATCATGGTTTCAGACACTGGGCGTATGCGTGACTGACCTCTGGAGCTTTGTTCTTGGTCTATTTTCAAACGGCCGCGAATTGTAAAGGGCCCTTTCGTCCTGACTGTGAAGAGTTCAGCAGGCTGGCCGTGCTTGTCGTGGATGGTGGCATCTTCAAGGATGAATGTCTGTATCGTAGATGTAGCGTCATCGGCTTCCAGGCGCGGATCGAACTTCTTGAGTACGTTTAGCTCATCGGTGTAAACGTTGTCCTCGGGGTCGACGGTTGCCGTGGTGGAGTCGGACGTCCTCCTACGTCGTCCGACCATGTTGGCGGCCTAGACTGCGATCGAATGCGTGGGATCGGTAAGGGTGGCCAGCATTGGGAACGGGGACGAGATCAGTACTGGAAGGCAGGCGTTGTCGAGGCAGATTTGGTGGACGAGGTCGTGGGAGAATTGTCAAAGAAACGTTGCGGGGCGGTGACTTGCGCCGACGTTGGTGGATGCGTAAGGGTGGTATCGAGAAAGGCGCACGCGCGAACGCGATGAATTCCATTAAACAGAACAGAGGCGCGCGCACGGCAACAGTTGTGTTGGTGGCCCTCGAACCACCGGCCCTTTGCTTCGCGCTAACGTAACCGGACAGTACTGCAGTACCAGTGCGGGGCACTTGAAGCCGCTGCTGCTCCCCCACTAGAGCTGGAAAGAGGGCGCGTCGGGTACGTAGAGGGATTCGCTGCGCCAGCAAGGGACTTGCTGGTTTGCGGCCCCAGAGACAGGGGCTTGAACGGCTGCCAGCCAATCGATAAGCTGATAACTCACGCTGGAACGTCCCTTCCAAAAAAATTTGGCACAACTGCATGCAGTGAACCGCAGACCGCATCGCAAAAGCTAAAGAAAGCGCACCTGTTCCCCCCACTAGCCTCGACCCTTCCTCTTCTTTTTTTCCCTTTCCTCTTGCTCAAACACTTATCTACAAACCGAGGCGAATGCGAACTGCGTCTCGTTTTTGGAAGATGGCGAAAGACACCGTGTTCGAAGGCGTCTTCGGTAAGCTTTGTTCCTACTTTTCCCTGCATTCCAATCGGGTGTTTTGGCTTCCAACGTTTTTTTCTCGCTGCGCATTGTTTTGCGCAAATGGAGCACCCTTCGCTGACCACAGACTCTGCGACCAGCCATCAACAAGCCGTACGGCATGAGCTCTGCGCAAGTGATTCGAGATGCTCAGTCCGCATTCAACCCCTCGGCCATGTTCAAGCCGTTGATTGACAGGGACCTCGCCGCTAAGAACGCCGAGCCCAGACAAGAATGGAAGCGTCGCCGACAGGTCAAGAAGGACACTCGCGTTAAGATGGGACACGGCGGAACGCTCGATCCGATGGCCACCGGTGTGCTCATCCTGGGCGTCGGTTCGGGAACCAAGTCGCTCGGCTCCTTCCTCGATTGCACCAAGACGTACGAGACCGTAGTGGTTTTCGGCACTAGCACAGACACCTATGACCGCGTGGGTAGGATATTGAGCAGACGACCCTACGATCACATCACAAAGGAGCAGGTCGAGAAGGCGCTGGACAGCTTCAGGGGCAAGTTTGAGCAGATTCCGCCGCTGTACTCTGCGCTCAAGATGGAAGGCAAGCCACTGTATGAGTATGCCCGCGAGGGTAAGGCCATCCCGAGGGAAATTGCCGGTCGCGAAGTCGAGGTCACCGATCTCGAGATGGTCGAGTGGTACGAGCCTGGTTCGCACAACTTTAGATGGCCTACGGAGGAGGCCGAGACTGCGGAGAAGAACCTGGCCGAGCAGGTCTGGCGGGTTAAGAAGCAGCAGGACGCCAATGGCGGCAGGAAACTGTCCCCAGCCGAGGAGAAGGAAGAGGAAAAGGCTATCTCGGAGCACGAATCTTTTAAGAAGAAGTTTGAGGAGCGGCAGGACGATCTCATCCGTGACAAGCCCCCCAAGAAGCAGCGCCCACCCAAGAACAACGCCCTCATGTCTGGTGCACTCGGACAATTGCCCCCTGGCAAGGGTTCCAACCTCATCCCTCCTCCCCCGTCTGAGGACGAACCCTTCCCTTGGACTGATAAGGGACCGCCGGCTGCCAAGATTCGCATGACGGTCACCTCTGGCTTCTACGTGCGCAGTTTCTGCCACGACTTGGGAGCAAAGGTCGATTCTGCCGGCATCATGGCTGAGCTGGAACGTTCGAGACAGGGCGATTTTGAGGTCCGTACCGCCAATTGCTTGGAATACAGCGATTTGGAGAAGGGCGAGGAAGCCTGGGGCTCGAAGGTGTCGGAGATGCTTGCGTCTTGGATGCAGAAGTATCCCAACGGCGCACCGCAGTCGGATAAGCAGCGCAACCAAAGCCAAGCCAGCCAGCAGAACAACGGTCGCAACAAGCTGCAGAAGAAGCGCAAGTGGGAGGAGAACAGGAAGTATGACGATAGCGACAGAAATGTCAAGAAGAGGAGAAATTCCAGTTCAGACGAGGGCGAGAAGCCCGCCAAGGCAGCAAAGATTGAAGAAGCAAAGACCGAGGAGCCCAAGAAGTCTCCCAAGGGATCGCCCAAAGGATCACCCAGGGCGTCACCGAAGGCGTCTCCAGAGGCAAAGACGCCATCTAAAACTGAGGAGGCAGAGTGGGAGGGCATCAAAGACTGAGCCTGCCCGTTTAGATGTAGAATCTATGCACGCAGAGCATGGGGCACGATTATATCCGACTGATTGCAAATGGGAGAGGCACGGCGTATAAGGCATCATTTTGTAGGACCTCAAAAGCATTACGAGCCAGGTGGCAGAGTTGGCAGCTACAATTCTTGCTCTTTTCCAGCTGGTTAATTGTCGATACACGCATTAGATTCATGCTGTGAAGACCCAATTGGTTCCTTCCTTTCGTCTTGCGCACAGTAGTATCGCAGTTGAGACCCAGTACGTGACCTGTGATGCAAACTAATCATTTTCCAGTCCTTTGAACCTTTCCATTATGCCAACCATATATGCTCCATTACCGACCCCAAACGTCCGTAGATATCCATAAAATGTCCTTGTGTATCCAGGAAGCCGCCCAATATGCTAGTCATGTCGTCGTAAATATCGCACTGCCATGCATCGTACACTCATCGCCAAGCGCGACCATCTCATAACTGTGATGACCGCGTCGACTGCGACCCCGTTGTTTCCCCAGAAAGCCGGCTGCCCGCGGGCCGCTCGGCCTCCGCGGTATCCTTCATCTCTCCCAGCAACGACCTCACTCTCTCGATGCGCCCAACCGCACCCTCCAACCTCTCCAACCGCCTCTTTTTATCTTGGTCCCTCTTCTCGAGCACCCCAACCCGCTCCTCGAGCTTGGCCCTCGCCCTCCTCTCCGTCGCGACCATCTCGTTCGCCTGCTCGAACAGGCTGACGCTCAGCTCCTCCACCTCCTGACTCGTCGTGCTCAACCTCGCCTCGGCCTGCACCCTCAGCTTCTGCTCCCTCGTCAGCGCCTCCAGCAGATCCTCCGTCGTCGCGGGGTCCCGCTCGCCCGGCGGGGGCGGCGTCGGCGCCCGCAGGTTCGGCGTGCTCTTCATACCCCGCGGGCTCAACAGCTGCGACAGCCTGTTTGCGCCGCCTGACAGGAACGAGGTGCGGGTGGGCGACGGGCTCGGCGGGGCCGGGGGAGGGTTGTGAGAGGCGGCAATGCGCAGGCGGGTGAGCTCGTCTTCGTAGTCGGCCCAGCGGTCGACGGCGGCGGCGGCTTTTTGGTTGAGCAGGCGCACCTGGGCTTCGAGGTCTGCGATGCGGGCTTGGGCTTCGAGGAGGGCGGGTGGTGGCTCGATGACGACGCCGCAGGACGGGCAGGAATGCTGCTCGGAGCGGTCCGTTGAGAGGGATAGTGTCGGCGGCGGCAGAGGCGCGGTCATTGTCATGGTTGCGCTCATGGCTGGTATGCGGGTGGACGTTCGTGGCGGGCTCTCTCTTTCTCTCTCTGCGAAGACTCTCTGCGAAGAGTTGGCCCCAGAGGTAAGAAACTGGAAACTGGCGACGAGGAAGAGGAGGAGGCGTGGCAGGTATAGGTGGGAAGACGCCGAGCTTGAGCCAACGAAAGCTGCGAGTCGTACAAGCTTTGGGTGGGTGGTTGAGTCGTTTTTGTGCAGGAAGGTGGAAAAGCTAGCGGGTGCTAGAGTTTGGAAGGTGTGACGTCGCGGAGCAAGAGGTTCGGGAGGGAGGTAGGGCGGATGCGAGGGGTGGGCGCACGATGGCAGGTTTAAGGTAAGGTTAAAGGTCCCGTCGTTAGTTAGGTAGGTATAATTGGAAGCGTTGCGGTCGTGTGTCCCTTATTCGGCCCTGTGTTTGCGCTTCGACCTTTTGACCAAAGTCTGTCAGAGACAAGAGAAACAGATGTTTTGGCGCCGAATGTAAAGGATATTGGCTTGTCTGAGCTAGAAACGATAGGAAGGCGAGGAACAAATTAAAAAAGTGTTCACCACAATTTTCTCTCGTTTTCGTCTGCCTGGACTTCCGGCGCCCACATGCCTCCTCCCCCTCCATTCAGATGTGGTGTGCCATGCAAAGTGCATCCTGTCCTGTCCCTGTCCCCTCTTACCTTAGCCACCGGGTTAATGATAATGAGGTGGTGGGTGGTATGTTGTAAGGATCCATCTTCTCCGTGTGCGTGTGACACTAGGCTTCAAAGGCTGGGATTCCGTACGAATACAGGGCCGAGGTGGCCTATGAATACGCTCGCTGCAACCTATCAACCAACGCAACCCAACGCGACGGGACGGGCTGCGGCTGGGTTCAACTGCGCCTCCCTGCTTTCGTCTTTCCGTCGCAATTGGGGAGGCTCGTCCAAAACGTGGGCGGAGCAGCCCAACGGCGCCGGCGATTGGCGAAGCACCTTATTTGGGCGACGACCGTGCCCCACTGCTGTTCCAGCACCCTCCTTGATCAGCCTCATCTACCGAGATGGCAGGGAGAAGACAGCGCTGCATCAGGGCCTCTATCTGCTGCGTGTTTCCTGTCCTCTTTGCGGGCCGTCGGACGTTTGATTTAATTTGATGGATTTTTTGGCCTCTATTTTCATCCATTCTTTGACCTTTTGTTCTTGTTGTTTAATTTTGGTCTAATTGCTGACAATGCTTCAAGAATGTTTGGCCCCCGACTGTCATCTGCCATCATCACTGTCTGATTGCGTCAAAGGCCACAAAGGGGTCACATTCGTCGTGTATCATAACTGTGGGCGCAAGCCTCAACCCTCTTCTCCCTGGCCCCTTTCCTCCCATGGATGCCCGGAATTTCCTGCTGATAACCCACGATTGTCCCCTTGCATGAATATGGCTCTGACATCGGACTGGGCACATTGGACACCTACACAGTCCGTCCGCCTGCCTGTGCCCGACGTCGCCGGGGAACACGTAGGGCACTCTGCCGAACATGACATGCAAACCCTCACCAGACGACACTGACTGCCGCCTCCGTGGTGTGGTTCGCGGCGGTCAATCCCCCCTCTCTCCCCCTCATTGCTTCCTCCAAATTCATGCGCAGCAGCTTCAGAACAGAAAAAAATTAAAGCTATGCGCCGGCCCTCGGGTTCGGTCCAAGAGTCTGAAACCGCCAAACCCGCTGTCATGTCGTCATATCAGCCTCCCGTTTCGAAACGCGACGAGAGCTCTTCCTTGTTCGGAGGGCGAAGCCGGCAACCGGTCAGCCTCGTCGGCGGCCGAGGCGGAGCAAGAAAAGTCTAATTCGGGCTTGCGTTGCGCGTCTCGCCTGACACTGTCGGCGGACACGGCACCACCGTGGTCGTGAGATCTGCTCCGGATGCGAGGTTTGTTAGGAAGCACCCCTCAGTTCGGCTTGGCCACCTTGCGCGGCTCTCCAATGCCCGTCTCCGGGTCCTTGTACTCTTTCCAGCTGACCGGCACCATATCGTTGCCAGCCTCGCTGGTGGCCATGATGACGCCCAGCTCATTGCTTGCCGTGGAGAGATAGTAATTCGCCTGGTCTCCAAGAGAAATCTGTCAAACAAAGTTAGTCGGAACCCTTCATCCTCTCATGGTTCATGGCATAGAACATACCACCTGCGCCCGCACGATATCGCCAGGCTTGAAGCTCTCATAGATCTTGACCTTGTCCTTCTCGGTCGCCCGCACATCTTGAGAGCGGATGACACCCTGCCACTCTGTCTGCAAGACCGTGTCACCGACCTGCTGGATCGTCACAATGGCCTGCTTCGGCATCAAGCGCACCACACGACAGAGGACCACGTGGCCGACGTCGGGAAGCACCTCGCGCTTCTTGTCGCCGTTGGCCTGCGCCTGGCGAGGGACCACAGAGAGCGTGGGCAGCTCATCTGCGGGAAGGGCCGTGATGCGAGTGAGGCGTTTCGAGGGTCCAGCTGAAGCCTTGGCGGAAGGGGTCACCTTCACCTCGCCCATCAGCGAGGCCACGACGTTGCCGTTGTAGATGTGCGTTCCGGGGCCGGCGGCGTAGCGGGAGGTCGGACCCAATGTCTTGCCGGGGACGGCGGTCTGGGGAATCTCATCCGTCGCCATCTTCAGATGTTCTCGACTGTCGTATATGACGTATGTGAAGAGTCCGTTTGTTCAGGCTGGTCCGCAGCTCTTATTCGTACTCGGTCTGCAAGGCGTGCAGAATGAGCTGACGAATGACAAAGAGTGGATTGATATTGCAAAAGTTCTCTTCCGAGCAAGGCTGGGGTGAGAGAATCTGCTCCGTTCGGCAGCTTTTGAGAATTGTAAAAATCCGAATGTCCGAAATTTTTCAGTGAGCTATTGGCGGCCGCATAGTCTCGCGGGGGCCGTTCAGACGAGAGGTGCGCCGGGGCCCCGCTATCCGGAGGAATCCTAGACGACCTGCACCTGTGAGCTGTCCGCTAACGACCTGGAGCTGCCCGTTCTCAGGCCACTGGGAACTCGAGCTTCCGGGCGGTCGCGCAAGGCAGAAATAAAGTGAATCTGCAGGGTCCTGGGTGACGGGGTCCAATCCTCAACCAAAACATTGGAGCGGTGCGATTCCGCAGCTCAACGATACTTTTACTTATTTACCGGCTGTCCCGTCACAGACCTTTCCGGTACACATACCTTCCTAATTACCATTGCGCATTGCCAATTCGGGGACGTGCAACATTCCTTGAGCTTTTTTTGGATCTATCTTTTGGCTTTTAGATTTCTGGCATCTTCTTCACAATGTTGTCCATCAGCCGGCTGTTCTCGCTGGCGTTGTGGATCGGTCTCCTGACCCCGATTTACATGTTCCTCGAGAAGAACCTGGAGAAGTTCTACATCTTCGACCACGAACATCTGCACGATCTCAGCAAGCGCGCCATCGCCGCGCACGGAAACGACACCAAGTCCGTGGTCAATTACATCGTCACCGAGCTCCATGGCATCGTCCCCAACAACGTGAACCTCGACGAGGAATGGGTCTTTAACAACGCCGGCGGTGCCATGGGCGCCATGTACATTATCCACGCCAGTAAGCAGCTCCTTTCCACACCGCTACTCCTCTATGCCAATTGACTAACACCTCTTCCTCTCCGCCAGGCATCACCGAGTACCTCATCGTGTTCGGCACTGCCATCGGAACCGAGGGCCACTCCGGCCGCCACACCGCCGATGACTACTTCAACATCCTCTACGGCACCCAGCTCGCCTACGTCCCCGGCAAGTACGAGCCCGAGGTCTACCCCCAGGGCAGCGTCCACCACCTGCACCGCGGCGATGTCAAGCAGTACAAGATGGACGAGGGCTGCTTCGCACTGGAGTACGCCCGTGGCTGGATCCCCCCTATGCTCTTCTTCGGCTTCGCCGACGGCCTGTCTAGCACCCTCGACTTTCCTACGTTGTGGACGACCACCAGAATTACCGGTCGCGAGATGATCTCCAACCTGCTCAAGGGCAAGTTCTAAGGAGCTCGGTGCACGTAATGGCAGGAGCCCCTGGCAGATGGCCCCGTAATGCTAGATCACCATCATGATGCGACGACGTGCCATGATATAGACGAGGAAAGAGACGGGAAGAACATAAACCCTGCTCGAGGGCGGTTAGAGGGTACATGATGCTTATTTCGGCTTATATATTCCAAATGGTCATTCCGAGGGAAAGACTCGTCCATATCAATATTTAATACGGCAACAATGCCACATTTCAACACTGACGAAGCTTAATGGGCTAATCGCCCAACAGCGGTGCTGAAAACGAGCTCAAGTTGTACCTGCAGATGAGAAACCAGCACCAGATACGCGATCCAATGATACAACAGATCGGCCTTATTTTGCATGCTGCTGCGCAGATCAGCCCTAGGCCCCTGGTCTGCATGCTCGTTGGCAATGGAGCAGCTCTATCAAAAAAACCACTTCTGTCGTAGTTATTTGATTTCCTCGAAACTCTCCTCGCCAATGTCACAGATTGACCCAGACTAGCCGTGTGTTATTTGTAAGCGCGGATGTCATATTGGACTCCGTATATCTGACACTGGGTCAGCCAAAAAAGATCATGAACCACATGCAACACCGAGCATTCGCCGGTCGTCTCCGACCCGACTACTACTTCGGCCCTCACTGATTTATCGATGGGGGAGCGGACGGGACCCCGAGTTCTCCAGTGGGTGTGGTCGCATGTGCTAGCTGGATGTTTAGAAGAGACTTATGGATCTGCTCCGGGGAAACAGCACTGAAGCTCGATCTAAACATCAACATGGCTGAGCTGGAAAGGACGGTGATGATGAGAATGACAATGGCCACATGAGAAAAGATGACGGGGAAGTAACGACGATATCGAAAGAGACGAGATTCAGTAGCTTGATGACTTAGAGAACGGTTTCGGCAGGTACGAAAGGCATTGCTCACATCTGCATGGCTTTAACACTTCAAGTACAACACCGGGCTGTTGGCTGGAATGTTCAGACAACACTCAGCATGACTATGTTTGATGAGCCAGTGACTCTTTCAAATCGACCTGCTCCTTCTCGTCTTTCGAACACCCCGGTCTGGCCGCGGTGCAATGTGATGGTCAGCTCTCCCAGCTGTGAGCGGAAAAGATGATCACAGAGGCTCATTTTGTCTTATCATCAATGTTACCGTCAATATTCAGCACCCGATGCTTTGTATGCTGTCAAGACGATCGACTATACCCCAGCACTTGGCATCGTTTCCTTTTCTTAGCATGATTGAGATGGCTTCTGGTTAGCCAGTCCAGTGTCGAAGATGGAAGTTAAAAACTTGTGGTTCAAGGTCGGGTTCGCGGCCTACAAGCGATTACAGGTATTGAGAGAATACTGTATCATACTTCGAGATCATTAGCCAATTTTGCTGTGAATTTAGGCAGGAGTTCTGCTAGCCGGGAAGCGTTATCCGGCCAGTGTCCACATATACGTGTAATTCGTATCCTGTACTGAAGTAGCTATGTTTTCCTATATACTCACTTTCGTCGTCGCCGTCGTCTATCGTCTTTATTGTTACTGCTACTCCTATTGTTTCCTCTACTATTATCTTCCTTATAGAGGTATACTACGATTGAAGTTATAGGGACACTGCCCGGATAGCCAACTAACACTGCCCGGCTAGCAAAACTCTTAGACAGAATGCACTCCTCATGCAGCGTGACTGGCAACATGCGCTTAGAACTTCTCCAAATGTCGTCATGAGTTCTTCTGTATCTCAACATCGGCGCCATTTGCCCTGAAGACGCATGTTCAGTTGAAAGCTCATCTGGAGCATTTTCGATCTCGCTAATTTTGAGTCTTTGTGAGCCGCCTTGAAGCTCAGAGGCTTCCATCACCGGCGCTTGCTTACCTTTGGCGCCGACATCAAAGTTGCGATGGACTTGAAACATCCGCAAAGCTTCACTTCCTTCCCAGTCGGAGTGGTTCCTCATACACCAAAGAGACAACCAAAGCCAATAAACTGGTATGAGTGAGCGCGACATCTCGAATGACACCGTCATACGCGCCAGCTGAGCTTTCTTCAACACTTGATGCTACGTGCTCTATGCCGGCGTCCTGTTCCCAGAGATTATCTTCTCGGATCCTGAAAGGTACCCTACCTTCCTACGTCGCGTGATACAACATGAAGGCCTACCTATTTTTACAGTCCCGACCAGCCTTTCACAAGTCATGAGTCTCTCGGAGTTGCTATCTGTGACAAATTCTACCCCAGTATTCTGGCTCTGGACAGAGTCATGTTTGAAGCAACGCCTCCAACTTTCGGCAGTGATTGTCGCCTGGTCTGATTGCTCCCGACAGTTTGGGCATCAAGCTTAACACACAGACAATGAGACGTTAGCCGATCAACCAAAATGGCACTTTTTGAAAAACCAAATCACAGTTGGGAAGCCATCAACAGGCAAAGTGCCCGTCTGGCTTCCATCTCGTCTGGTGTCTCATACGCTCTTGCCCCTGAGCTCAGACCTTTCCTTCCACAAGTCGCCGCTCCCACTGACTTGCTTCCCCTCCCCCACGATCTGCAAGGCAAACCGTCCGTTCTTGCAACGTTTGAGAACTTCCAATGCATCCCTGCGTCGCTCGACTCCAGGTTTTGTCTGGAGCCAATCCTGAGCATTTCCACCCCTCGAGATAACGAGCTCGCGCCATCCTTGCCTCCCGTATGCGTTTCATACTTCGGGCCACGAGCCACGATATATACCACCCAGCACCCTCGGGCTTATCAGTGTGGACGACATCTCATCCATAATCAGTCAAGTCATTCATTCCAGTGTCTGTGGTCGTCATCGCGGGCGAGATCGCAGTCAAGATGTCCAATCGAGACAGAATCGAGCAGGCCGGGAGCCGAAGCACTGAGGTTTCCTACGACATGAAGTACTATGAGGATGTTTCGTTGGACGAGAAGAGAGGCATTCAGAGCCGGCCCGATGCCCCGACTGACGAGGAGCTGAAAACCCTTCGACGCGTTGCGGACCACATACCCTTCAAGCTCTTCACCATTGCCTTTGTTGAGCTCTGCGAGCGCTTCTCTTACTATGGCTCTGTCATTGTTGTAAGTGGACTTGCCGGGTTATCGTCCTCAGAATGCACGACTGACCAGATTCCAGTGTATGTATTGGTCAATCGAAAATACAGGAGGAAGGGAAAGACTAACACGATCTAGTTACCAACTTTATTCAACAACCCCTCCCGCCTGGTTCGACGACCGGCCGTGGCATTGACTCTCCAAAAGGTCAACCTGGTGCTCTAGGCATGGGACAGCAGGCTTCAACGGGTATCACTACATTCAACCAATTTTGGCAATATTTCATGCCCCTATTCGGCGCCTGGGTTGCAGACAAGTACTGGGGCCGATACAAGACCATCTGCATTGCCATCGCTGTCGACCTTGTCGGACACCTGATTCTTATTTCCTCGGCGATCCCTCCGGTCATCACCAAGTCGAATGAGAACTCCTTGGCCGCGCTTCTCGTCGGAATGATTACAATCGGGTAAGGTCAAGTTGTTTCGCAGATGCAGGGAAGTTGCTAACACGTCGAAGATTTGCGACTGGAGGCTTCAAGCCGAACATCAGCCCGTTGATCACCGAACA